GAGTTTGAGACCCCTGAGTTAGAGTAATGTCTCAGCCTGGTCCTCTTGGTTTGTGTTTTCCCAGGAAGAAATGACCGAGGATGACGTAGATGAAAACTTCAAGAACATGTTCCGGCAGCTTGCAGGAGAGGTAGGCTCTGTAACTCGACATTCCTGAGACTTCTTCCTCCTCCAGTTGTTGTGCTAAGCGAGCAGGCAAAATAGTGGCTGATAATGAGGAAGTGAGCAAATGACCAGAAATTGGTTCTTTAGATCCACTTTGGGGCACTGCACTCTTCCCCAGCCTGGTGCAACATGACCAGTGGTCAGGAGTGTTGGGAACTGTAATCCAAAACAACTGAGGATTGCCCCCAAGTCCACTCACCTCAAAGGGCCATTGTGCAGAGAAAATAAGAGGAGCGAGACCCACCACCAAGAAGTTAGAAAGTAGAGGAAGAACTGGATTGCATGCAATAAATTCATATCATGGAATAGCTATGCATATATCAGCAGGAATCATTTGGTTTCTGAAAATAATGTCACCAGTTAATTGGAAGAAGGCCTTCAGACTGGAGTGTTCTTTAGAGAGAATTCTTATGGTTGCACAACAGTGGTATGGCCTTCCTCAGTGTTGTCCAGAGCTGTCCCTTAGTGTCCTTTTTCAGGCTGTCCAAGAAGCCAGTACCTGAGAAGTTATACATATCCTACTTTTGCAAGATGATGTCATCCTTGACCTCTTTAGCCAGTTAGAAGTGACAGTGACTAATAACCTGCTCTCTCTTTTTCCAGGACATGGAAATCAGTGTCTTTGAGCTCAGGACTATCCTGAACAGAGTCATCGCAAGGCGTGAGTGCTTCTTATTCAACCATCCGGCCTTCACTGTGGGGAGTTTCACCTTTCCAACTTCCTTCTGCACACACACACAGGCCACCATGGAAATGTCAGTTTGGGAAGGGCTTCCTGAGTAACCATGCCCCTCTTTCCTCCCTCTGCCAGACAAAGACCTGAAGACTGATGGCTTCAGCATGGATTCTTGCCGCAACATGATCAACCTGATGGATGTATCCTTTGGGCTGGGCATGGGTCCCTGGAAGAATGGATGGGACTTCCTGGTCAAAAGGAAGCAGAAGGGGATCATTCTGTTCAGCGGGTAGAATTTCCAGCCTAGGCAGTGGCGAGACAGGAGGATGGCCTGGTGCCCTTTAAAGCCTAATACTTTGCATGCACCACAACTTTCCAAAGGGCATCTCCCGAGGCAACTGCATCTTCCTTTTAGTGCCAGGGCTCGGCTGCTGCTGGCTCTCATACAGAATCTGTGTGCGTGTGAGACATGCAATGATCTATAATGATACAGTCCTGGCTCCAAAGCAAGCCAGTAGTGCTTTGGAAGCTGAGGCTGTTGGCTGGCGAAGGGAGCCAGTCTCTATCAGAGATCATGTGTGCTCCTTAGCTGACTCTTGATCGAGCTGCTCACTAAAGCGACTGTATTTTGAGGTGATGTCCTGTGTCTTGTGTGTGAGACCTGCCTGGTTCTGTCCTGAACCCCTTGTTCCTTTTCAGGGCAGCTGATACTTTCAGCCCAAACCTTTTTGTAATGTTGTTGTTGCAGTAACACGCAGCAGTGGAAGAAACCAGGCAAAGTGAGCACAGCATGCTGCCCTCAGGAGTGAGGCTCAGCCAAGAGGAGGTGGTGGCAAAGCCCACTGATCTGAGACACGATGTGTTTTTATTTACCCCCCTTCTGCTTCCAGAGGTGCCTTGCTGCAGCACAAAGAATTCAGGAGGCATCACATGCAGGGCAGTGAAATTGAGCCATGAGCTGAAGCCCGGAGTGTGATTCCTCTGCCGTGAGGTGCTTCAGGGCTTACAGTCAGGAACTGCCCAGATCTTGACAGCACCAACATGATCTCACGTCAGAAGACTCCATAGCAGCGCAGTGTGTTGTTCTAATGCTTCACTTAAAGGGAGCGGCTGTCTCCCTTATGCCCGTCTGCAGAAAGTTTTTAAAAGCTACTGTTAATTCAGCGCAGCTCGTAAGGGTTTCAGTGATTTGTCATGTCAGAGCAGCTGCGTGTCTGCAGCTGTGTGTACATTTTATTAAAGTTGTGTACATTTTATTAAAAGTACACAACTTTTAAAAAAATATGGCTACCTTGTTTCTGGCTGTTGCTGCTGAGAGGGAGGTGTGGAGGGATGAACCCAGGAGCCTGGAAGCCAGCAAACACCGGTAGGGCTGCCCATGTTCCTCATCATTGGCCATGATGGCTGGGTCTGATGGGAGAGGGAAGGCCAAGGCATCTGGAGGGTGCTGTGTTGAGGAAGGCAGCTACGCATGCCGTGACATCTTCAGCAAGGCCGAGGCAGGGCTCCGCTTCCCTCATCTGCCCACTGTCTTGGGCTTTCAGATTGCAGACCTCTCTTGGTGTGAATCTCTCCTTGACGTTTCTGCCGATTAGAAAGATGGCAGTGCTCGTCTAGGCCTTTTGGAGTTTCAGACATTGTGGAACAAGATCAGGAACTGGCTGGTAAGAGGAACGAGCTTGGTGCGAGTGCTTGTGTGTGTTCAACACCACTTTTTTGGTGCTGGGGGAATAGAGAGGACGTAGTACTCAGGGGAAAGGAAGCCGTCTTCTCACAGTCTTCTCTTCTCTTGTGGCAGACTGTCTTTCGCCAGCATGACCTGGATAAGTCAGGTACAATGAGTGCCTACGAGATGCGTCTGGCTTTGGAATCAGCTGGTAAGACTGGAAGGAGAAATTACAAAATGTTGTGATGCTGGTGGGTTGCGGAATTCCCTGTCAGTGGATGTGGCTTGCTCATCGGCTCTGCTGAATGCTTTCAGTCTACGCCTGTCTAGCACAGTGGCCCTAATCTCCACCCAGGACCAAGCGTGGGAGCAGGGCAGTCTGTGAATAGGCTCAAGGCCCACTCTTACAATCTGAGGGCAGAGACAGTCAGCAAAGTCATCTGAGGGAGCAACTGTCCTGCATCCTGGATGAGCCCCATGAAGAAGTAGGGTTGGAATCTCTGGTTCCAGTTCCACCTCCACGCTTTGCATAGAGCACATTGCATTTAAGAGAATTCATGGGAACGGCTGTCCATACTGCAGCCAGAAAATATATTCTGCTGTCATCCAGTGATTCAGATACCAGGGGCAGTCTCTCCCCTGCCCAGCAGGAGGCAGGATCATTTTTAATTGCAGAAGACTAACCTGAAGAGCTGAGCTAGAGGGCACCTCCCTCACTTTAAGGCTAGTTTTCTCTTACCTTCATAGTGTTTGCTGCTGGGCCTGCCCTTCAGAGCATACCTGAAGGAAGTGCACCTTTCTGGCGGATGGGGGTCTTCTCCCTTTCATCCTGTCTTCTACCTCCACAGAGGCTTTGTCCTTAACGCTTGTTGAAGAGACAGGCTGTAAGGACAGCCTTGGTTGCCATGGGTTTGTTATAGTTGCAGAGCTCCAGAGTTCTGCAAGCAACTGCTAGGCTAACTTGCATAGTAGAAGCATCGAAGAGTCCCATCAGACAAAGGGAGTGATTGATTTCCTTCCTTCCTTTGTTCCTTACAATTCAGTGTTACCCAATAGCCAAAGCTCCTGGGTAGCTCACAACACAATATGTCATAATACCTTTAACAGACAAAATAAAAACAATTGAAATGAGTTAAAAGCAATTTACCAGGGCTCCACATGGCTGAAATTAAGAAGCTCCATCAAGTGCCATCTGGGAGTAGAGAAGTCTTACTGGATACCAGAAAGATGACAAAGGTGGTCCTGGGAAGACTTCACTGGGAAGAGTGTCGGGGATCAGGTTTCCTCAAAGGGGTTAAGGGAGGCAGCTGGGATAGTTCAAAGGCTTTCATCGTGGAGAGTGGCAAGTCTCCATTCAGGCTCTGAGAAACAGAGAGAACTGATCACCCAGGACCTTGGGCTGCATGGCAGTACTGCTATCTTGGCCCAGAGGTCCGATGATTCCCAAAGAAGGTGCTGCCTACCAGAAGAAAGCATGAGCTTGCAGCCTAATGCAGGAATTGTGATCCCTTGCAGTCGGAGACCTACAAGTGACTATTCAGCAGAACCTGTCTAGGTGAAGATACCTTACCTGGTTTATCTGACAATTCCCAAATTGTTCCACCCTGTGGTATGACCAGTATGGAGTTATTGGCAGGGTCAGGATTAGGCCAGATGAAGTAAGAATGATTGCTTAGACAGTAGTTTTTGTCCTTAGGGCGGAAGTGTGAGATGCCTGCTAGCTCAGTTCTTTAGTCTTTGATTTAAAAGACCCTGCCTTCTCCTGGATGAATGTCTGACTGACTGTTGATGGACAGGTAGAAGAAAAATGCACAGATTAAAAAAATCTGTTCAGTGACTTGGGATGATGTCCCTTCAGATGATCCTTTTTTGATCTGGACATTTAGCAATGTAAATCTAAATCCTAATCCAAGTAGCTGATAACAGGGCAGATTGGACTACAAGGAGATCACATCTGACAGTCTTGTAACCCTACGCTGCTGTGTTCCTCCAAGCTTAAACCATTTTTTTCTGGTCTGTTCTGGTCCTCGCATTTCTTTTGAATTGCATTAAAGTAGAGGCCTCCACCTTTGTACTGGTTTTCATTCTGGCAGGCTCAGTGATGATGTCTGTTCTTTCCTACTTTTCAGGCTTCAAACTGGACAACAAGTTGCATCAGGTGGTGGTGGCACGCTATGCTGACGATTCACTGGGTGTGGACTTTGATAACTTTGTCTGCTGTTTAGTCAAGTTGGAGACAATGTTCAGTAAGTGCTTCTGTAGCAGAACCCAAGGAGGCAGCTATCTCCAGGCATGGTTAGGGAATCTCACACCATTGTGGGGACGGGGTCTAGATAAGCTTGATGACCAGTTAAATTATATTCTGTTGGATCATATTCTTCTCCATAAGAGAAAAAGAAAGGAAAAGGTCCATTTTTCCTAGGCTACTGCTGTGTAGGAATATCAGGCTTTTAAGTTCCATCCAAAAGTTGTCCCCATCCTTTGACAATACTGGGATGGGCCCTAAGAGGAGACCATTTTCCTGCTTGACTGGCCAGAATTTCTGCAATGACTCTTTTGAAGGGCATCTGTAAACAGTGCAAATTAACTTAATGTTTGCTTAACTCTTTTAAGCTAACTGCACATAAAAACAAAAAGAGTATTGTTCAGAAAGGCACAGGAAAGGGGCAACTAAAATGATCAAGGGGCTGGAGCAGCTCCCTTATGAAGAAAGGCTACAGCATCTGGGACTGTTTAGCTTAGAAAAATGATGAGTAAGGGGAGAATGGATAGTATGTTAATACTGGAAGGCCTTCAGTAGCACATAGGACTGTCTGAGGCTTCTAGCCTTGATGGTTATGCGCTACCTCCAGGATTGGAGACAGTATGGTTGGGTGCACGAGTTGGGAAACAGGGATGGGGAGGGATGAGTTGCTGCAGCCATCTCAGCTCGTGGGTCTCCTGTGGACAGCTGGCTGGCCACTGTGTGAGCAGAAGCCAGGCTAGAAAGTCCTTCAGGTTGATTAATTATGGTGCCTTTAAGTTGCAAATGAATAGGTATTGCAGTTAAGTGTAGATCATTTTCTAGTTGTGGGGGTCGTTCCTTATTTAGCCCAGAGCTGATATTTGGGCAGGATCTCCAGCTTGCCTAGTGAAGGTTTCTTTATCAGCTCTTGCATATGCATTGAGCAATACAAGGCTGCAATCCTATGTACACTTTGGTGAGCATAGGCCCTGTTGAACATAGTGGGATTTCCTTCAGAGTAAATGTTCCCAAGCATATGCTGTAAAGAGTTTAGAAGACAATAAGGAGAAAGGCCCCAGATTTTGAGGGAAGAGTTTCCCTTTGGCAGAGATTAGGAGATATCTTCCATTTGATGCCAAGACCAAAGCAATATCTAGCTTAGAGCTATATTTTTCCCTTTCCTCATGGCAAGTAGGAAATCTGCCATGATCAGCAGGCTGCAAACTATTCAGCCCAGACGAATGAGGTTCAGTATGAAGGGAGCTCTTTTGAGAAGGAAATTGTTCTAGATTATGCCCAGAACTCATAACTAAGCTCAGTTCAGTGTTTACATTTAGATGCTGAAGCCCTACTCCAGGTGCTGCTACCTTTGGAGACAAGTTAGGTAACTATCAAGGCTAAACCATTTCTGTGATGGTGATCTAGCTCTGTTCCTTCCCAAGAGCCCCAGCTGAATCAAACCAAAGGTCTGTCTATTCCAGCAGTTTGTTCATACAGTGGCCAACCAAATGCCCATGGAAAGCCTACAAATAGGGCATGCCTACTTTATTACCTTTCAGACATCAGGCTAAAAAGAATCTTATTCTTCTGAGCTTGAATTGATATGCCCTTTTGGTAATCATATTGATAGGGAATGGTGGACTAACTGGATCGCCTGTCTTTTCTTGAAACTTTGCAGGATTCTTCCGTAGCATGGATCCGGAAGAGACAGGGACTGCTGTGATGAACCTCAGTCAGGTAAGAAAGCTCAGATAGGACCTGAAGGAGGTGAGAGAAGGCGTATTTGATTAAAAGCCTCTCCTGATCCAGAAGACAATAAGTAGATGAAAAGAGACAGATGTCTTCTCCTCTGTTAGGAGCTTCTTTATGAGACTGTCCCCTGTGACAGCTCCCATGGACAGGTATCAATAGGCATTGATCTTTCTTTGATATGTTCTTTGTCCTAGTCTCATGGGGAAAATGCAGGTGAACCAGGTCCCACCACTGCTGCTTTCTTTCTGTGTTAGCTGGAGAAACAGTGAGAAACATAGAAACAGCCAAGTCAGAAGGGGTCTCCCGGGCCATCTAGTCTGACCCCTGGCTCCAGCCGGCTCCACTCATGACATGCCCACCATATGCATGTCTAGCCTATCCTTGAACACCCTCACCGATGGGGCCTCACCAGCTCTCGTGGAAGCCCATTCCACACGCTCAGGGTCCTAACTGTCAGGAAGTACCTCCTGGCATCTAAGTGGAACCTTGGTTCCCTGAGCTTTGCTCTGTTGGTGCGCATCCTGAACTCTGCAGACAACAAGGACAGTATGGACTTGAGGGAACTAACTTGTGTATCACCCGGAGTGGAGGATCCTTGAATCTTCAGACCATTTAGTAATCCTAAATATCAATCGAAACAGAAATGCCATTGGAATAGTTGGAGAATTTCTAGGATAGAGAGAGAGCGCGAGAGCACACTGGAAGTCTGTGTAGAGGTGGTGCTGAAAGCCAGGAGACTGGGTGCCATTCGGGGTGGCATGAAGATGGAAAATTGCAGAAGGCTACAAACTGATCCCAACAGAGGGCAGGGAAGAAAAGTCAAATGCTAACTTTTAGATAGGAGCACTAGCCAGGGCATGTGGTGACGGGTTGTAAGAGTTTTAAATAAATAAATAGCTAAGGATAGTGCCACCTTGTGAGCCATTTGTTTGTACTCTAATAGCAGTATTAAGCTCCCTGCACAGAAACATGGGAGAAGCATCCTCCATGAGATCTGATCACTCAAATGAGTGGCAAGCTACTTTGCAGCATGTCCTGGAACATGGTTAGGCTCTCCAGATGTTGTTGGATTGCAAGTCTCACCTTTCCTCAACATTGACTCTACTGGGGTAGGGCTTATGGAGGTTGCCATCCAACATCTGAATGGTCACATGTTCCCCACGCCTGTTCTAGAATGTACCATAAGAAAAGCAGTTGGCATAAACTTACCCTTGATGACACGATTATAACAAACCTTGACCCATCTTCAGAATACTGCTGCAGAACTGAGTTTCTACTGTGCTACATCCTGGGAATGCTGTTCACTTCTGAGGAGTATGAGAGAGGTCTTTGTGCTCCATGCGCATGTGTGTTCCTTTGGCTTCACCATTGCTTTTCAGATTTTGCAAAATATTTTAACTAAGTTTTAAATTTAATAATAAGTGCAATGACATGAGTGCAGTGAGTAAACAATTCTCAACAAGATGCTTCTTGCACATGGGACTATTTGTATTAAGTGGCAAAGAGAAACACTCCCAGCGCAGCGTAGTGGTTAGAGTACTGAGCTGGAGGTCAGGAGATCTTGGTTCTCATTCCTACGCAGCTCTGAAGCTCATGGAGTAACTTTGAGCCAGTCAAAGACTCGCAGCCTTCCCTACCTCATAGGGTTGTTATGAGGATAAAATAAGGGGAGGAGCACTGTGGAAGCCACATTGGGTTCCTTGCAAAAAGAGGAAAGGTGGGGCAAAATATAATGTGGTGAGGATGATGCTGCTGCAGGGAGACAGCAGCTCTGAAAATAAGCCTGTGATATCGGTGGGCTGAGGTCACAAACCCCACCCTTGCCCCCAGCTCACATATGCTAAGAACATAAAGCAAAATCCCCTAAATTGGCTATGTTTACTTAAAGTCCTCTGGCCAACTTGCTCTGGTGAATCAGTTTTTCTGACAGGCCATTTGATAAATCCTGGCATGCCACCCCTGAAGTTTGGAGCTGGCTGTCCAATGTCTTGCAATCTTCCTACAAGCAGCAGTGAGCAAAAAAAGAGTGCAGCTTCTTTGTAACCCTGCTTGTGAGTGCAACCTCTCTTTCAAACACCTTTAGTTCCTTCTCTGGGGGAGAGGATGAAAAAACAAAGACAAGACTGGGAAGCCAGTCCTGTCCTCTCCAGCTTGCTCCCATGCCAGAATGTGGCAATCTTTTTCATGTGAATTCAAGACTTGGCTCTTAAATTCAAACTGGAGGGTTGGGAGTGAGAACAGATTATAGCTCAGTGCCTCCTTTGCTTTAACTCTTCCTTTCATTCCTCCACAGTGGCTGATGTTAACCATGTGCGGCTAGAGCTGAGGTGCAACTTCACTGAGAAGAGCCGGTTGGACTCAAGTGCCTCCGTCATGTCTGACTAAAGACCTGGGATGGCCATGCCACCTCCCTCCCTCCCTTACCACCCTGTTGCTGAGCCCCAAGCCCACCTTCCTTTTCCTCTTGGCCACACACACAGCTAGAGTTCCCCTTGATTTAAGCTCTCTCGCTTCCTGGGATCAAAGCTCCTGCTGGACAGAAGGGGAGGTGGCTCTTTTCCAAGAAGAATGCAGCGTGTGTTGCCACTTTGAGGAGCTGAGGAAAAGCAAGAGAGGCATGAATGCATGTTGGATCACCGCATGTAGGTTTAGCCTAGCCCCTTATCTAGAGGGACATCCTTTGGAGTTACCCAAGAGGGGGTCGGTGGGATTGTGCTTGTTCTCTGAAAGGTTGGCCTGTTCCTTCTTCACTGGCTGCAGCTGCTCTTGACTTAACCTTACAAACCACCCTTGCCTTCTCTCTCTTCTGAGCACTGGGCATCAACTGGCTTTTTCTCTAGTAAATGCAGTGCATCCTACCACTTTTCTGAATTAATGGAGTTCCTTCTGCCCCAAAGATGGTGAAGTCACGCATTCTCCTAGACCACTAAATGAGTTCACCTTCTCGTGCTGCTCACCCTCTCACTTGCAGAGCAGGGGTGGGCATCCAAGAAGCTGTGCAAGAGGCATCTCGCTTTGCACACCTGCCTTTGCCAGATTTATGGGATACTCTGAGGTGCCTTTGCAGAAGCTGTCCTCAATTCCTGGAGACTGAGCTCATGGCCTTGGCACCAAGAATGGGATGCCGCACATCTGGATTGCTGTGCTCTCCTCTCAAAACAGGAGGGGCTAGCCTAGAGAGAGAATGCAGAAGTTGTCCTGTTAGGTTGGGGATGTTGGATAGGCAACCTATTCTTTACTAGGAAACACACTGCTAAAAAAGGACTACTTCAGGTCCTAAAGTAAAAGAATTCTGGCATAATGAACACCAAATACATTATTTAGGGTGCAATCCTATGCATGTTTCATGGGCGGGGAGGGGAAATCCTACAGCTTCCAGTGTGTTGGCTGTGGAATGTGAGAGGTTTTTTCTGTTTAGGCATTCAAAGGAGTGTATCTTTAGCCTTTTGAGAAACATTTAAAAGTAATCACAACAGGAAAGCAGAATAACTCTGGCATGCTTTCTCATAGTTGCTTGTTAACTCTACAAGAGTTTGGGGAAGAACCCTGTGCTATTTTTTATTTTTAAGTGAAATTGTTCACTTTATTTTTTTTAAGGCCATGGAAATGCTTTCAAGATTCAATTAGGGTCCTGTGGAGGCTGCCTAGAGTGTTTCATAAACTGTAAGCTTCACACAGCCTAAATTATCTTCTCTAGTCTCCTGCATTCTAGATGTTAAGAATGAGGTCTCCTGGTTTTGGATATTTCTGATCCCCTTGCAACTGATGCCAGAGCTTTTTGTTGGGTTCATTAGATAGGCTCTTTGCATCTCTTAAGCTATAATGAACTGATCATGGCAAGCATCATGGAAAACACTCTTGGAAGAACAGGATAAATGCACTATAAATAAGCAGGCAAGGATAACCAAAGAATAAAGTTTCTTTCTGTGTACTGTTCCCAGCCTTAGCCCTGACTCGCTCTGTGGCCTTGGCTAATTCTTTTTTCTGAATTTGGCTTTTCCATTCTGCGGATTTCTGAATGGAAAAAAAATAAATTGGGGAGTGCATTGCTCATGGAGCACTTTTTAATTCTACTGAATTGGCGCAGTATCACTGCCCTGCTGTGCCTCTCCATGCCTGTAGATTTAGTAGAATCAAGGCAAAAATCCCAACTTAGCTGCAATTTCAGCTTTCTGCAAGAATCCCTCCTTGTTCCTTAGGCATCTTGTGCAGGCATGGCTTTTTTTGAGAAAGAAATCTGGAACATAACCTCATTTTGGATACATTCACTCTGGCAGGAATCAGGATTTTCACACCACCTTTCAATGTGGCTTTGGGAACACCTCTGTCTCTGGCTAAGCTAAATAAAGACAAAAGGGAGAATCAGGGTGCAGTCCTACATATCTCTACTCAGAAGTAAGTCCCTTGAAGGGTTGCATCCTTCAAGCCTTTTGAGTCATTAGCCTATTTAGGGAAATCACAGTTGCCTCCTGTACTTTCAGAGGTAAAGTCTGGTGCCACAGGGGGAGCAGAGATTCATTTTATTAGCTATTCTAGGTGCCACATCACCACTCTGTAATCTTGTCCTCACTCAAAAACTGTGTTTGCAGTGGTGAACTAAACTGTACAAATAAGGAAATACAAACCTGCTTTGCATAACCTGTTCCTGAGGTTCAGGTTTTCAGAGGCTGACAGCAGAATAGAAGTCAAGGGCTGTCCGGTCATGAATGTGCCACTTGAGTAGCTGTAGCAGAAGTGGATGTGCAAAAGGGAACCACAGTGGATCAGATTCGGCTGCTCTCTTTCTCGCTTTTCCTTCCTCTCCCTTTTTTCTCCCATGAGGACATTCCAAGGCCTGGAGAAGAGTCTCTCTCCACTGCTTTCCTGCTTCAGCAGCCTTGGGATACCCCCCTGCCCTGCAACAGCCCCAGCAGCCCCCATGCCCTCTGTCTGTGCCCCAGCCGGCCCTGGCCTGAGTGCTTTGTTACAGGGATCCACATCTCGCTGCCTTGGAATGCTTGCAGAACATAACCACTTCAGCTCAGAGAGCAGAGCTGCCTCCTCAGCCCAATTTGCAACATATGTGAAGTAATAAATGCAGATATATCTAATTCTTCCTCTGCAGTGTGTGTGTGTGTGTGTGTGCAGAAGAGAGCGTGTGTTCACATACTTATGGTATAGTTAGCACCCTTGGGGCAAATTTGCTTATTACAAACCATTTGTTTATTAAGGCGGTCTTCAAGTATCTTGTACAGGATACTTTAAAAATACAGTATTGTGTAAAACTGTTGAAATACACATTACTAATGAAAAATTGTTTGGTGCTGAGCTGTAGCAATAACCACGTTACCATGTGGATACCTGTGGATATGTTCCAGCTGAGGTTTGAGGTGTGAGCTTTACTCCATTTAGCAGAAGGGGAAGGATGGGGGGATATGGAGGCAGGACAAAGCAACCTTAAGGTAGGTGGGGCACCCTGTTTTTTCTTGCTTTTTGCTTTTTGGGGGGGGGTTACTTCCATGCACCTCAGTATTATATTTAACCCAAATTCACGGTTGGTCAATACCTTTACAGTGGTACCTCGGTTCCCAAACTTAATTCATTCCACGATTCTGGTCACAAACCGAATTGGTCACGAACCGAGTCAAATTTCCCCATAAGGTTCAATGTAAATAAGGTTACTCCATTCTGAACCATATGTAATTTTTTTTAACCACAAAAATATGAAAGTACAGTACAGTAATGAAGAGAGAGAACACTAACCTTGCTTGAGGCGATTTCTGGCATGGAGGACAGGAAGGTGGGTGGGGAGGAGGTTATTGTTTGGAGGGAGAGTCTGTGACCTCAATCCCGACTAGAGGAAGCCGCAACCATGTGTCAGAGCGGGGAAGATGGTTGTGATTGTGTTCGTCACCCAATGTGGAGTTCACGAACGGAAGCAAAATTTTGCCAAACTTCCCGTTCGCGAACAGAAGCGTTTGTGAACCGAGATATTACTGTATTGGGACTGACAGAAATGGCCCAGAATCGTGAACAGACTTTCAAGTTCTCAAAAATTTTCACCAGGCTTGACATTAATGGTGGGGGAAGGAGCATGGGGAGTGTGGAAGAGAGTAAAAGCTGGTTTGGCGTTGCTGCCATAAGCCTATCCCGTTATTATCCCCTAGTTTACATCTTAAGACTGTGATCAAAACAAACTTAGTGGGATTAAACTCTCCTAGCTGCTGTACAGGGTTCGAGTCACAACGAAGTATGCTGGCCTAGAAACCACACCATGACCAATTATTTTTTTAAATCTCAAATTGCCCAAGTCTGGCTCCAAATTTTATCCAGAATCAACTCTCCGGATAATCTCTTCTTTCCATTAACCACTAGATGGCAGGGCAGCTCTTTGCCTGCAGGCTGCTGGGCCACCATCCCAGCCTCCTCTTGCCTGCTACCTGGCAGTTGTACCAGGGCCCCTGAAGTGCCAACAGGCTGGATTCCAGCAAAGTTGTCCTGCTGGCTAAAACTCTGGAAGAAGCGTGTATTGGAGCTAGTGGAGGCGGCGTCAGTGGCTGACTTAAGACAGCAGGGAAGCAGTTGCTGGAATGAGCATCATCTGTCTCCCTCTCAAGCTTTTTGCAGCCTCGATGCCATGCTGTTTGGTCATCTATACAGCCCTGAAGAATACCAGGAAGGGGGAAAAGGGGACTAAACAAGCAGAGTTCCTTGGTTACCTTTTAATATCCCCCCTTTTAATCTCAAAAAGTTTGGAAGATAATTATCTGTCTTAACATATTGGTCCAATAGAAAAATTGCTAGTGTTTTCCAAAGTCAGGTGTGCTGCAGTTTTTTAAAGCCGCCCTAAACTCAGGCATCTCAAAGGGGTTGAAGTCTCTCTATTTTTAAGAGATTGCATCTTATAATGCAGGGAGTTGGATCCAATGACCTTATTTGGCCCCTTCCAACAATTAGGATTCTATGGTTTTACTTTAGGCAGCTCAGTTAATGCTCTCCTTTGTAGGGCAGGTAACAATTCTGCTCTGGCAAATGGAGACAGGAATGGCATATAGATTATTTCTATTAAACAAGAGGGACTATTTTCTTTCAGCTTTACTATGACACAAACCTCAACTCAGTTTTGGGGTGGAGGAAATGTTATACAATCAGTTCTTAAGGTTCACAGTTAAAACATTGTGGTATGAATCAGGAGAGTCTTTGCTAGAATTGCAACTTTGCCATGAATTTCTTTGCCACTCTTCTTTCTGCCTCAGCTTCCACTTATGCAGTAGAAGAAATGATACTGACTTACTTTACACAGTGGGCGTTAGGAGTAGAACTACATAACACAGCCTTCCCCAACCTGGTGCCCTCCAAATTGGCCATATTGGCTGGAAATTATGGGAGTGGAAGGTACTAAGATGGAGAAGGCTGAGACAATGCATCTGAAGTGTTTTGGAAGCTTTAAAGTGCAAGACAATTTTTAATTGTACTACACCCTATAGTTCCCCACAAAGTCTATAGAATAGTGAATTGCTTTCATGAGGCTTCTGGTCAAGGCACTCTCACTTGGATTACAAACTTTATTTTAAAAATGTAAAATTCTCAAATTGAGTTAGCGGGGGCAAGAATGCCTAAGTGTGAAAGTGCACTTTTCCATCTTAAAAATTAGTGCGTCTTATATTGTTTTAATAAAATTTATATCATGCCTTTCCACCCTAGGCAGCTCACCATAGATAACAGCAAAACACAATAGGCAACACAATTTTTAAAAAGGATTTTAAAGAATCAAAATGCTTGCCTTTGAAGAGGGCAACTTCTCCCCCTAAAAAAGAGCTTGTGGATTAGGCCAACTGATGACCAAGCTTATCAAATGTCTCCTTGGGCAGAAGGCTGCCCAACACTGAATAACTTCCTACCTGTGGATAGTACTAAAGATATGGATTGAGCTTGCTGATAGCTGGCTTGATTTATGCTTCCCAAGGCATCCCTCCTTTTACTTGCACATTCCCAAACGGTGCAGCTCAATGGCTTGTGTTCGGTTGTGGGTGTGAACTTGTTTCACACTGTCACTTACAGGCACTCAAGGCAGCCACGCTGAAGCATACAGCTGTGTCTTGCAGCTGTACCAGGTGCACTTCCAGGGGTTAATTTTGGCTATTCTAGCATAGCCTGAACCATAATTTTGGTTTGAGTAGAGAGATCCCAGGAGAAGGCATGTACATAGTTGCCAAGCCTCGGGAAAGCTTTTGTCTGACAATGCAATCTAGAACACTTGATCGTATCTGGCCCAGCAGGAGATCTAAAGGGGAGATGGCTTTCTCTTGTACATCAGGAACCAGCACCACAATGGGTGCTGGTTCTGGTCCAGAAGTGTGAATTAAAAATGCAGTCCAAAAGCCCTCGCTTGATAAAGATTGAAAGAAATTAGCTGTTAATGTTCACCCCAAGCATTTCTTCTCATGAAGAATGATCTCACATGGAATGCTGTTCCGGCTGGAATGTTTATAAGCCCTTGTAGGTCACCAGAAAACACTTTCTGTGTTCCTTTGGCAGCAAACACTGATCTGACTAGGCAGGCCCAAGCAAGAAAACCTGTGCCAAAGTTCCAACAAAAGTAGATGTTGTTCTTTTCCACCTGGCCGTCGCCTCTTTTCGGTTCTGCAGGCAGGGTGTTGTTTGATGATGGCTAATGGAGGCTCTGGGAAAAATCAAGAGTTTTCTCAAAAACCACAAGATTAACAAGGAGGGAGTAGAGAAATCCCTGTGCTTCCAGCATGCAAGACGTGAGAGGCTGGACCACACAAGGCACTCACCCTTGGGTAGGCCTTGGAGGGGAGGGGAGTTCTTTTCCTGTGTTGTTAGGCTGACTGTGTCTCACAGCTGGATATAAAAAGCTTCCAGGAAATTTGCAGAATGCTACAAATGAAGACGGCGGAGCTTTGCATTGCTCACCAAACATAATTTTGTGTTTGGTTAAATCATGTTACTCTGTGCCTGATTTTTTGTACCGAGAGCTTTGAACCATCCTGAATGTGAGCTTTTGATGGAGGGAGAGATCCATCAAGGTGCTGTCAGAGCAGGATAGGGGGCTAAAGAATCAAGTGTACTAATCAGAAGGAGACGGGTCCCCAGGCTCACCCATCTCACCACATTTTGAATTAATGAAATAATACATATGGCCATTGAAGTGTATTTGGGTGCAAAACCAGAGTCTAAAATTACTGAACTCTACCACTGTGGGCAGAAGAACAGTTCAGAGAGCCTCCCAGAAGAAGCCACTCTGCATACACCCCGATAAAACAGAAAGCAGGAGTGAGACTGGCTGTGATACTTCAGAAAGCCAGTTCTTATGGAAAGTTTACCATGTGAAGCTGCATTTTAAGAATCCCCACCCAGCAATAATACATGAAGAAATCAGCCCTTCGGGGAATGTCTAGTTTAGCAGCTAGCTATTTTAGACACTTTCTAAATAATAAGAAGAGGAAATGTAAGTCTTCATTTTGGAAAAGAAGAGAAAGCCCGTTCCATTTGTTTCTGAGCCCCTGAGCTTTTTTTACACAAGGAACTAATTGTGTATTTATCAGCCCCTACTCACAGATGTCATTGTGATTCTCTAGCTTAGCTTCTATTTTAAAGAGCACTTTCAGATAGATTTCTTAGAGCAAAGAAAATGCAGTATTATTCCTAAAAGCGTTTGTTGTTGTTGGGGGTGGGGTGGGGGACTGTGCAATTTCACTGTCCCATTATACCACAGTGCCACCTAGAGGTTAGGTCAGAGACCAGAAGGAAAGAAAATGCTCTGCATAGATTTTGCATCGCAATTCTGTGATGAAATTAAAAGCATATACAAGCAGTCCCCAGGTTACGAGCGAGTCCCAGTCTTGAGAAAACAGAATTTTGTCCTCAAGTCGCATATAGTTGGCCCTCCATATTTATAGGAGTTAGGGGGTGCAGCACCCCCATGAAAGTGGACAAACCCCACCTCATAACACAGTCAAAATTGTGGACCTGAAATACGATCAAAGCTGCTTATTACTGCTGCCTTCCTACCCTGATGTGCTTCAAGTGGGTTGGGTGGCAGCTTCCAACTAGAATAGCCCTGGATCATGACTGGGGATGAGAGATG